CCATTGATTTCTTCTCTAATCTTTATTATGTCCTTTCTTCTGCTTGATTTAGGTTTAATTTTTTATTAAAGATTTAAATATACACTCTGAAACAATAAAACTTATTAAAGAAAACATAGGAGAAGCATTACAGCAAATAGGGCTGGATACAGACTTCCTGAATATGACTCCAAAAGCACGGGCAACCAAAGGAAAAATAAACAAATGGGATTATGTCAAACTAAAAAGCTTCTGCACAGCAAAAGAAACAATTAACAGAGCTAAAAGACAACCAACAGAGTGGGAGAAAATATTTGCAAAAGATACATCTGACAAAGGATTAATATCCAGAATTTACAAGGAACTCAAACAACTTTACAAGAAAAAAAATAAGCAACCCAATTAAAAAATGGGCAAAAGAGCTAAGTAGACATTTCTCTAAGGAACATATACAAATGGCTAACAAACATATGAAAAAATGCTCAACATCACTCAGCATCCGGGAAATGCAAATCAAAACTACACTGAGATACCATCTCACCCCAGTTAGGATGGCTAAAATCCAGAAGACTCTGAATAATAAATGCTGGCGTGGTTGTGGAGAAAAAGGTACTCTCATACATCGTTGGTGGGACTGCAAAATGGTGCAGCGTCTATGGAAATTGGTATGGAGGTTCCTCAAACAATTGCAGATAGATCTACCATATGACCCATCTACCGCACTGCTGGGAATATATCCAGAGGAATGGAAATCATCAAGTCGAAGATATATGTGTTCCCCAGTGTTCATTGCAGCCCTCTTTACAATTGCCAAGAGTTGGAACCAGCCCACATGTCCATCATCAGATGAGTGGATACGGAAATGTGGTATATCTACACAATGGAATATTACTCAGCTATAAAAACGAATGAAATACTGCCATTTGCAACAACATGGATGGACCTTGAGAGAATTATATTAAGTGAAACGAGTCAGGCACAGAAAAAGAAATACCACATGTTCTCACTTATTGATGGGAGCTAAAAATAAATAAATAAATTCACTCACACACACACACAAAAAAAAAATAACGGTGGGGGGAGAAGATATAACAACTACAATTTTTTGAAGTTGTTACGACAAGCAAACGGAAAGGACATTGTTGGATGGGAGGGAGGAATGGGTGGAGGGAGGGAGGTTTTGGTAAGGGGCCACAATAATCAACCACAATGTATATCGACAAAATAAAATTAAAAAAAAAAAAAAGGAAGGGGAATTTTGGGGGGGGGGGGGGG